TGTATAATGTATAATTTATGTTTGTCAACGATTTATACAAACGAGAGGCTAACAACAATTTATACAAATGGTCTGCCAACGAAATTATACAAATCTGAAGAGGAGCCAACGAATTATACAATTACTTCTTTTTGTATATATGTATAGCGAAATAGACATATCTTTCAATTGTATATGTATAGCGAATTATACATATATATGTTTGCTATGGAGCGCAATTATGCAAACTTTGTTATAGCATACAAATATAATTTTTTTGTTTGCTATATGTGAAAGCTGCTCATTTAAAATTGAATCAAACCAGACCAAACCAATCAACAAAATATAAACATACTATATACCTCTAGATATATGTACCCTTATCTTGAACATCCACGGGTTAAGTGTTCAAAATCTACCAATTTTCTTTTTGACATATACATATTGACTCCTGATGTCTATGCCTTCCAATTCTGGGTACGTGTAAGTAGACGCTTAAACTTAAGATTGAATAAATAGACACATTTATCTTATGCAGCGTTCTATATAGCATTTTTGTGTCCAATGTGTATTATGTCACGTATGACTTGTATGTCTAGTTGTTCAATTTTATACAAATATAAATAAGAGCTACTTGTGCACGTCAATGACATAGCTGTCAGTTGAAGTCAAATTACTATAGATATTAAAAAAAAATCATTTATAGTAACGTATTATGCCAATTTCTTTATTGCACTAAGTTGTGGTCCACAAAATTCTTTTATGTCTCGTGTTGAAAAATATTACTCCCTCCGTCCCATTTTATGTGAGGTAGTTTAACTCGGCACGGAGTTTAAGAAAGAAAGAAAGACTTTTAAAACTTGTGGTCCAAAATGAATGATAGAAATTCGTGTGGCTGTAAATCATTTCATTAAAGGTAAAATAGACATTTTATAGTTAAATTGTTACTTAATATAGAAATGTGTCATTCTTTTTGGGACTGACTAAAAAGGAAAGTAAGTCACATAAATTGGGACAGAGGGAGTATATATTAATAAAATCATCACATCAATCTGAATCGACAAAAGTTGACAACATGAAAATCAATAAATTTATAAAATTTCGATACCATCCCACATACATATATGTCGAGTAGGATAATCAAGGGGTAAAACATTTTCTGTCAAGAAATTTTTCATTTTGGTATTTCAGAACTCAAATATAAGACTTTTTGTTAATGATGGAAAGATTCAAAAATCATCATCCATATAAAACCTCATACATTTAATTTAATTACACCTAATTTCAAACACCGTATATATGTCTGAAGTTGATAATTGTGCAAAAAAAATATTCATATTTACGCTAAATCAAATTTTAAATCAAATAATTGAATATATGATAAACTAATTGAATTATATTAATTAATTTCTTAATTTAAATAAGAAATTTAGACCCGAGTTTTTATTATTTTCGACCCGCCAGTTCCTCTTTCACCTCACGTCCATTTAACCGGATTATCGTATCGGAAATTGCTTCTCTGCGTCTCTTTCTCCGGTGACCGCCGGCGATCTCCTTCTCAGGTAGGTTTCGGCCTCCCTCTCCCACTCAACTATCCTTTTTTGTATTTTTCAATTAGGCATAAACCCTAATCCAATTTTATAATCCTGTATAATTTGTTGAATACGGATTGTTAAGCGTTGTGGTTGTGATTTTAACAAGTTAATTGGCTCAATTATGCCTCATTTCCAACTACTTCGAGTTTTTTCTGTATGAATCATCTGCTTATATGATTCTAATTTTGAATAGATTACATTTATTTAAGCTATTAGCCTGTGGCAACTGATTTGCCGCAAATCTGTTTCTTTAGCTGGCCTCGGACTGGTTATGTCTTGTGAAACTTACTTTGATGGAGTTCAGTTTCTAATCGTTTTAAATTTAGAGGTTTCAATCATGTGAAGTCAACTTTTGTGAAAAGAGGCCAGATATCCAAATCACTCTATCCTAATTGTTTAATGTAGCACCCGAGAGTCGAGAGTGTGACTTAGTGGTTAGTGAAGTGGGTTGAGCACCATGAGGTCTCAAGTTTAATTTCAGATAGAGGTAAAATACTAGGTGATTTCTTTCCATTTGTTTCCAGTTTTGGTAGACAGAGTTACGTGGTAGCTGATGTGTTGGTGGAAGGTGGCATGTATCCCGTGGAATTAGTTGAGGTGCGTGCGTGCGTGCTGGTCCATACACCACGATTATCAAAAAAATAATAGTTTATTGTCGATGTTTTCTGGGATACATTAAGGAATTTGCAATTCAATTACAGTGCTTTCTGTCTGTCTATGTATAGAAACTGAAATTTTAGTTCTTGAACTTCCTTGTGATTTTGACAAGTTAATTTGCTCAATTATGCCTCAATTCTAACTAGTTGAGTTTGGATATATGAATGATCTGCTTACATTCCACTCTTCAAGCCTATATGGTCTCAATTTCAAATAGCCATCAACCTATGGCGACCCTCTTCCTTTATACGGCCTCGGACTGGATATGCCTTGTGAAACTTCTTTTGATGGAGTTTGATTTCTAATCGATTAAAAATTTAATCATGTTTAGTCAGCTGATCTGAATGACCGCCTATATCCAAATCACTCTATCCTAATTGTATAATGTCAAAGTTTTTCTGGTCTACGTTGAGGAATTTGCTTAATTGTGTTTAAAGGTTTTTTCGTAGCTCACTTATCATGCCGACTCTAACTTGTTTGGGATTGAGGCATAGTATTTGTACTTATCATACCTTGTGTATTGATCTATCAGACAGGATACTGCACTGAGTATTGAAAAATGGAGGACATGTTGGTAGTGGTTCTCTCGATGCTTCTGGCTCTACTATTAGTTCCGCTTTATCTGTGGAAGCGCCGACAAAATTCTCAGTCTTCCAGAGAACATGAAGATGAACCTCAGGTTGATATGCTTTTCCTTTTGGTCTATGGTTTCTTGCAGCTTGTTTCTGTTACAAACGTGGTGAGGTAAGAGGATTATCCTTGAAAGTTCTCCGGTACAAGGTGGCAGGAATATGGGATTGATTCTTTAACCCTCCTAACTAGAGAGTGATCTGCAAGTGGGTATCACACCATCATTAGGGTTTGAGAAGATTATGAATTGATGTTAGCATTAAAGTTTTGGTATAACCATAATAATTAGTAGTCCTTGGCCCATTTTATATAACAATATGTGACTGGATATGATGAGCTTAAGATGTTAATATGAAACTAATTTTATATTAATGACAATGAAAGAAAATATCAGAGTAATGGTTATAAGTAGTTTGATAAAGTTAAGTTTGAATAGTTTAATGATTTGAGTTCTTAAAGGTGTGAAAA